CAGCCTTGATCAAACAATGACATTGTAATGTGTACTTTAAAGAGATACATATTTGCAAATATGTGAAACTTTGAGAAAAACGGGAGTACGAACTTTAAAAGTGCAAGTACGACTGAATTGTTAGGTCTAAGGCTGGCTGAATTTTGTTTGTGGTGTGACCTGAATAGTTGGTCTTACTGGTGGTTGTATCATTTTACTGCGAAGCCGAATAAAAATTAAAGCAAACCATTTTCTGTTCATTTTTTTATGAAAAATATCTTCTATCCCTCAGCTTTGGACGGCGGTTAAAAAAGTTCGGGGTGATTTTCAAAGTGCACTTTATTGTAAAAGCAGCTCAGCATTAGACCTAACAGTTTGGTTGCATTTTCGCTTTGCAGCCCACAACCCATTTTTCTCAAAATTTCACAAATTTGCAAATATTTGAAGTATGGAATATCGGATAATGCATATATATATATATATATATATATATATATAACTGGTCTAGACGACAATGACCACGTCTCAAGTTATATATATATATATATACGAGCCCCTTCCCACTTCAGTTGGCCCACTTCAAGATTTGTACCAAAATATGCCTTTATAAACTACACATGACGAAACTATTTACTTCTTAAACAATTTATTTTCTCGAAAACATTTTAGATACACTCTAGTCGTAAAAAATACATATTTGAAATCACTTAGACCTATAACTAATAGAACATCTGAACAAATAAACAATGTGCGAATAAATGCCAGAAGTTAACAAAGCAACAATTGAAAGATTACCATTGGGTAACATCACCTTTATTTTTTATTACGGATGAAATTCTTTGGGGCATAGTGTTAACCAAGTTTTGGCAAAAATTTGGTGTAAAACAATCCCATATTTCTTGAAGCTTTTGTCTCAGTTCGGTGATTGTACGAGCAGGATGTTGTCGTAGAACCTTTTTCATCTCGTGCCACAAAGTTTCAATAGGTGACAGATCTGGACTGCTAGAAATCCATTTCAAAAGTGGTATATTATTTTCTTCCATAATGGATGCTGGAAAATTCACTTTTTTCTTCAGACAGCCAACATGGAATGCTTCGGTTTTTTTTGCGAATAACTCTACTGCGACTGTCACCAACATAAACTTCGAATCGGGCCTCATCATCCCATTGTATTGCACACCATTGTTGAGGTGTCCATTGTCTATGTTCTTTAGCCCATTTAAGCCGATTTTTCTTTTGCAGTGGAGTTAATAGTATCTTTTCTTTGGCCTATAAACAAGTTGTGCAACTCTAGGGTTTTTACTTCACTTTTTTTTATAAGAAAACTTACCTTGCAAGTGCTAAATCCCAGTTTGTGGGCCTCTCTGTGAGTTGTGGACCTCAAAATTCTCCTTCCAACAGCGTCACTCCACAGAGCACTTAATTGTAAATAATTGGCACGCCTGTTTTTCACGATTATTCTTCTTAATGCTCTTCGGTCGGCATTTGTGATATTACTTTTTTTCACATATCGCGGCTTAATATTAACTGAACCAGTTACGTTATATCTTCTAATAATATTTCTCGCACTGTACCGCGATAAGTAACAAAGTTGCAATTTCTGAGTTTGATTTCCCAGAATTAAAAAATTTAATTACCAGTAACCGAATTTTCTCACTAATAACCTTTCCTCTACCAATTTTGAAAACCTTAACTACCCAAAACTATTTTAAACGTATTCTGACAGCTGTGACTAATAAAAACAATTGTCATGGCTTTTATTTTTCACAGCCACCTATGCGTTATAGACTTATTTTGCATTGAAATGAAAATAGGTTGATATGCTGTAATTGCAACATGTGTTATTTTTAGGCTGCAAATTTGATTAGGGAGTGATAAAGTTGGTGTTTTCTACTAATATTATCAAAATATTCATTGTTAATGTTTTAAACCTATAACACCCTGCTAAATTTTCATTATTTGTGTTTGATAAGAAAAAACTAAGATTTCAATAGTTGGGCCAACTGAAGTGTGTATTGAGGTACTCCATCATCTGAATTTCGTTGGTCCACCCATAACATCCTGTATAGCTACAACGCAAGATAAAAATTGTGTAACGTGAATGTGTAATCGTAGATTGTGAGTCATGTTTAGTTAATCAAGACATGCAACATCTGTAATTGGGCAAAATAAACACAACCATATGCAAGATACAATGCATGACTTAGACTCGAATCATTTTCACAGGCGACTGGATGAGACAGATGTATCGTTATGTTCATACTTTGATGAGATCAGGTTTGCTTTGAGTTCATTCTTCCCTAAGATAGGAAGGCATTTAGATAAATTGATAAAAGTGCTGAAATAGTTGTTTATCTTGTTACTGTCATTATTCTGTCATGATTTTTACCAAAGCTTGTGAGATTGAGACAACATACTTTTCGGGTTTCATGTAGACAACAAATTAAGACACGATTATTTTGACATTGTAAAATTAGCAAAAGATACAACGATGACATCGCTTCTCGTAGATTCGTTTTTTAACGTTTGCTGTTTACATCGAAAATTGATATTGACCTCATTTATCTAACATGAACAAGTTTTTGAACATATTTCTGTACAATCTTGCTTCTATGCTGATACTAACGTTTTGTTTACATTCAAATATTAAACTTATTAGGAAATAATCATCATTAATGAACAGGAAATGAATGTGAACATTTCTGATACGTATATTATTTTCTTGTTTGATACACAAAACTGAATAAGTAAGCTCCATGTTATCGGATACATTGTGAAATTGTGCTGCATGTGAAAATTATGAAACGTTTCTAAATAGTTTCATAGAAAAGTTCCCTTTCTGAACGAAAGAAATACAGCTAGGCTAAGTTCAAATGATGCGCATACCACGCGCGTTCGCCCGATGCCTGTTTTGTAAATACAAAGAAAATGTACGCACTTTTGAAAAATTAACAATAGACAAGTTGAAAGGTTCTAAATCAATTAAAACTTGCGATTGTAGCTTTTCAAACTAAAATTTCTTTAGAGCTGAAAATAAAAGGGCCTTACTTTGTTACTGAAGCAAATTGGTATACCTTTGGGCATTGGTGACGTATATTAATTTGTTATATCAACTTTTTATACAGAAAAATAATGGAGACCAAGATATGGTACACATACATGACAACTTTGAATAAATATTGTGTAATTACATAGTTTCTCAATTCTGTTTATGTGTATGTGTTAATAAAAGCGTTTTTTATTTTAAACAGTTTTATTGAGTTTATTTTATAATTTTCTTCTATTTTTCTCTTCCCAATTCTGTATTTTTCTATTATATCTCTATTTAACAACCTGATTTTAAAATACATTTTGCATCTAAAAAAAGATGCTTGACATCTGCTTACTATCATGACTCAGTCCATTAAAGACTTTAAATAAAATTGTATGCGTGCTATCTAAACATCGACCCAACAAAGCCTTAGTTTGCCAGAAGTACCATAGAAAAAGGATGCAAGGTGTATGTAATATGAAGATCTTAAAGGTATCTCCGCATCTTTTCGGTTACAGGCATAAAGTATCAAATTAAATGCATAAAAAACGCCTGGTCGTTGAATTTTTACTTATTCTTTGGGACAATTTGCATTCTGAATCAAGAATTAGTTAAGATGCAATCTCTGCTGAGAGACTTACTGGCACGTAATTTATTTTTATGAAAAATGAAACTATCCTTTTTTCTACTATATGATAGAAAGAACGTGTATATAGTATGTTAACCGCAAAACTACCTTGGTAAGTCAGCTCGTATTAAAAGAAAAGGAGGGAATACTATACGTTGAAATGCAACTGCATTTGCAGGTAGAAAACTTATATCATGATATAAAACCCGGTTTACACATGCCACCCGTCAATGTTGCTTATATCTTATATCCTATTAATTGGTATCTGTGTCAGATTACCAAGGTGCCTTTCAACATTATAGAGACATATCAGATAATTATACTGCACGTATGACTACGACGTGTAAAGAAAACGGCAGTACCTATCATGTCAGTGCTAAGAAAGTGATAGCAATAAAATAGATGAATGTAGTTTTTGCAAAACGACTAGATGTTATATGATAAGAGACAGAGAGAATACGAACTACAAACCGTGAGAATTCTTGATACTATCTGTAGGTAAAACGGCAAATTTGTAGCTTTAATTTTGATAGACGAGGTCAGAAATCAGCCCCAGCAAAATGAGGCGGATTAAAGACATCGTTTGCCATAGGACGCGTTGTGTCTACTCATTCAACTAACTGTCATTTTTTTATTATACCACTAACAACTACACATATTTTTTTCATATCAATATATACTATCATCACAGAAGTACACACAAAAAAATCGAAGTCGAATATCGCACAAGGCACAGTTCAATATCTAAGCGACTCAAAAGTATAATGCAGAGATCACATCCAATACTTGGCTCCAAAGCTATCAATATCATTCTTTCAATTACCAAACAAGTACATAATATATTCTCTTTCAATTCAGGATTTGATTAAATGACCAACCTCGTACTGAAATTCATAAACATGTCATTTCAAATTATTAATATTTTTATAAACGAGAAATTATTTTATATACCTCCTAATAAATCAAAATATTCATGTAGGAATACTAACCTCATGCACAGGGTATAAAATAACTTTAACTGCACACTACATCATTTAAAATATTTATTATGAATTCATACAATGTTTTAAATTGTAATAACCAATAGACAGACATTGCCTTCTATGGGATTTTATATTTATATTTATTTACCTTATAAGTTCATATAAGTAAAAATTATTTTAATAATAATAATTAGAATTAAAATGTCTCAGAAACAATTACGGAGGAAATTCAGGGATGCTACTTTCTTGGAAGGTTGATGTCATGTGTATGAACAAGTTTCTTCAAAAGGAAAATGGATAGACCACCACACCAATAATCAAAATATACATTTCTAAAAAATTTTTATTCCATCCTTGGACTTTTATATAATACACAAACCAGTACTTCTTTGTAATCGCAAAAAAACTGTTGAAGATACTCCCATACAGTCACAAGCGAGCAAACAAAAATCGTATTGGATATGGCTTGGCCAATCCGCTTCAAGGCCTTGTCCGTTGGCTGATCCTTTTTACTGGGGCATCGGCGCAGCTAACGAGATAAAAATATTAGAAACGTGATTCATGTCATTGGTGTTTTTTGCGGTACAAAAAAGTAAAGAAATGAAATCCTGCTATTTCGTATTGGTAAGAATGGACATTGTAAGTGAACGACTAAGTACAGCAGTTACGCTGAAACTATATGACTCCAGGTACTTCCTCAGTTTTAAAGCAAAAAAGTGATTCATTAATTATTTTCAAAATTTTATATGGAATCATAACGTCGCTTGAGCAATAATCTAATTATTCACCACTACGTTTATAGCACAAGCTAACATTTAGATATTTAGAAGAAGCATTTATAATTTAAATTTAAGGTATATGAACACATTATCCATACCAAGACATCGCACAGCCATGTTTCAGCGTTATTACTTATATAACGCAGCCAAATATAATGCATTAGAAATCAATATTAGGAATACAACAAATCATAATAAATTTGAGTCACTATTAAAAAACTATATTTTAAACATACAGTACATAACGCAGATATTTTGGCAGCACTTAATCTTTGTTGAATATATTTTATGTAAATTTTAGAAGCATTTAATACTTTAACAAGTATCACGTAGAAGAACTTTATTATAGTTTGTATATAATACAATTATACTTAAATTAGACTTTTTTATATATTTCCAAATACTGCTTGATAGATTGGCCAATGGCTAAACTCAGCCATTTGCATCAAAGTTTCCAATGTTATACTGAGGTATTAACGATGCACTAAATACTATTATTATCAACTCCTCAGTTGCGTAAGACAAAGTCAGATTTTAAAGAACGGGGAAGTGGGCATCAGGTGACTAAAAACAGTTTTTTTACCAAACGCTACTTATAGCAGCCGCGATGCAACGGTATTTAGGCCTCTGCTCTGGATTATTGTATAAAAATGCCATTCGTGGATCATCATTTTACATCTTATAATGAGCTAGACGAGTGATTCAGTAGCATTTACCATGCGGAATATTTGCTACTGTTTTGAGCTTATTAGGGACCATGAACGTTTATTTTTTCAAGTTAAAAAAATTTCGCCTCAGTCAAATCGTCGTCCATAACACGATGTGGCGTATATCATTTTTTCCATTTTTTCATGAGCGAGTTTTGAATATTTTCACGAGATTTGAGTTGTTGCGGACAAAAAGGTAGTATTGCTGCATAATTGAATTTGTGGGTATATTTGCTAATGTTTACAAGCTTTTCAAAAATGAGCAACGATTAACCCATTTTTCATTTTATGTGTTCAAAATTTCCAAAAAAGTAGATACGTCATTTTGTGAAATTGAAGGGTCGTAATTCATAGAATAAAGACTGAGTTACGTCCGTGTTATATTAAAAAAAATGTTTTATTACTAGGCAAAATTGTTACAAAAAGGGGAATATTGATTATGACGAAATAAGTACCTGCAGTATCTAAAACTATTTTACTCCATATGAAAGTTAAATATGGCAGCACAAACAAAAGACTCGCTCAAATAATAATGATATAATAATATCTGTTAAAGATGAACAAAATAATAATTAGTATTTATGAGGAAGGTTTAAAAAGAATCTTTGGTATTCTGGTAAACGAACTACCGGTATATCTCCTTCACACAACAACTTCAAATCCATATATTTTTTCGTAGTAATTTTTCTTGGCTCTGTATTCAGAACTTCGAGGGGAATATCTTTTGAATGAAGTCTTTGTCTTTTTAATCTAAAAAAGCTGTATTCGTGTTGCAGGTGACTAGTTTTGTAGAATATTGGTAGCGGCTCATGATTTTTAAACTTTATTTCCATAAAATCGGGCCATTTTATAGGCTCCCCTGGATCTGTGGTTCTTATAGACAAATTTCTCAACTTTTGGGACATTTTTAAAAATCTTAAAAGTCGTTGTGCTGAAGTTCGTGCACAATGAACGGCTGATTACGTCTTGCCAAGCAAATAAGTGGAGGAAGTTGGGCAGGTATAAAAATTTCACCTACTTTGGACATTGCTGTTGTTGTGGCACTGTGGACAGAATCTCCTTCATTTTGACTATGAAATGACTCAATAATAAGATATATTATATATTCGAAGTTTTAGCTACAACATTTAAAAGCATTGTCGCAATAAGGAATTCTGATTCTGTCCATCGCCTTGAACCATCCCATTTGAATTTAATTTTTCTAGGGTTCGCTGTCCAAAAATAGAGTTTTACATACTAAATACTGCTGGCCTTAGATTGTAAGGTAATATTTGCGGTTCTTATGCCTTCGAGTCCTTTCTTTTTTTGTAGTTTTTTGAGCTGTGCCCGCTATCTTACTTGGATAAGCCATACGCTGAAAACTGATCTGTGTATTTCATAATTTTACAAATTGATGAGTCAACATGTGCGATAGCTTGGTTGATCTGACTAATGTAAATAAGATCGTGCAGTACCTTGCGCTACACTTGTAACGGCATTAGGCCTACGACCCCCACATTTTGTTGCTGACTTTCACGAGCCGTTTGCAATCTGCTCTCGCATGAGGAGCGCGCGTAGGTGCTCATGAGCGTGGAACAGAAACATATCGCACCAGCAGATTATTAGAAATCACCACCACTTTAAGCGAGAGAGTAATAACAGGTATCGGCGAGGAACGCATCCGAAGTCGTACCACAGCACCACAGGTCGTACTATATGAGTACAGGTTATGCGGGAGATATCCCACGTAAAAAAATAGTCCGGGCAAATTGTACATGAGCGATATCTGAATTGTTACACTCTGTATTCTGTTGTGGAATAAAGATTAACCAGCTAAGATAACGAAACATAGGGCGCGTTGGGCTGCTTATATATCCTCCCAATGCTTTTTTAAATGCTGGAATTCAATTTCCTAATATGTAATCGCTTCTCGGTTTACAGTTTGCAACTCTTGTTAGAAAAATCCAATTCTATAAGGTCTCTTCAAGGTTTTTGGAGGGTCGCATTAAAACTGCAGGAATTACTTCCATACATTCATCTCACACATACATATGAAGTCGGCATATTTGGCACGTTTGTTCGTGTAGACTCAAAGACTATCTAGTTTTGTTTCACCGTCGTCTACGCCTTCCACATTTATGCTTGTCACTGTCAGGATGTCAACTTGCTTGTGATGGGCGTGTAATTTGTAATGACGATGTGAAGTATAGTTAGTGCCTGAAGATACAACTGCAAAGTCGCCGAACAGTCAGTATTAGAAGCATTTTCAGAAGGTGAGAGAAAACAACACTCTATCACTCAATTCATGTGTGTGTGCAAGAGCGAGTAACATTTGCGTTGCGGAACGGCTTACGCAGTGTGCAATTTTCCCCATGGGACCGCGAAAAACCATCAAAAGAACTATAACTTCCAAATGACACGCATCGTAGTTCTTTTCTAGTCTTAGATCTTTTGCTGTATTGGAGCATGAAGGCATCTTTTGATAATGAATACCTTTATTCCACATTGCGCTATTACCGATATAGCTGCTCTCATATTCAACCAATCTGGCACATCTCTTTTGTTGAGAAATTGACACTTATCGGGTGTAAGGATGTATGCAATACCTAATGTTGGTTTTGGTCATTGTATGACAGATAGATGAGATCTTTGGCTGCCTCCATCGCCTGGGAAAAACGAGATCGTCAGCTAATATTTCTTTAAGGCATGGCTTGCTAAGACCATAAGAGTCATTACTAAGGATACTGATAGCTGTATCATATCAAATTAGTAAGAAAGATGGTGATTTATGACTCAAAGCAGATTACCGTATGTTCTCTATAGAGAAAGAGGTTCTCCTGTGAATAGATTTTCACACTGATAGAACAATTGGGCGGTCGCAAAGCTTCTCGAGCGACAAAACTCTTAATTAGAAAGCTGTAACAGCTTGGTAATCTGGGGAATTTTAGTGTGCGTTTTCTAACAAATATCAAAGATCGCAAGACTGAAAACCGAGTATAGTATAATCATTTATTTAAGTAAATTTTAGTGAAAACCAAAGTTTGAAGTCATTAGCAAAAAATAGCAGTCTATGTATATCATGCACTTGCATATCAACTTTCATTACCATTTTGCTTTTTGACCCTCTTGCGTCCACCTCTGCGTCCCGAAGTCGTCATCATATCGTATATCCTTGGTACTATCACAACAAAAACAGTTCGAACTTAAATCTAATATCACAGACTCAACATCATCATTCGCAAACTTTCTGTCAGTTCCCGTTTTGTCACAACTTCATCGCGATTTTCTCAGATTTGCCGTCGCAGCGTATTTCGCACGCGTAAAAACGCAGTAGGCGTCGTGGCGCGTCATTCATTTGTCGCCGCACCGCGTGGATCGACGTTCATTTGTCATTGCGTGGATCGTCGTGCGTGCGCGCTGATCGCAGCTAGCCGTGACTCTGCGTACGTTTAGCTGCGCTGTGGCTGCGCGTCGACTGAGCGGACTGGCCGCAGATTACAGGTTGTTATAGCGACGGAGCAGACTGTGAAAAACGGACACTTTAGCCGTGCTCAGGTTGGGTGGGGGCCCGGCTCTATTGTCAAAGATGTTGGACGCCGCACGCGGAGGTGTGAAGACCGTTTAGGATGGGGCGGGCCCAAGCACGAAGCACTCGTTTGTTATAATCTGACTTGCGGTAAACTTCGGCGTACATAAGCGCTAAGATCATCATGCTTAGGGATTATTTTTTTGGTTACAAGGGGGTTGGAGTCATGATACTTATGGTGCACGTTTTAGGCAACGACTTCTGAAAGTAAAGTCTGGCTGCAGGCGGACATCAACCAAGAGGACGTAGAACTTAATTAGCAATGACCGTACTGTGTGGAACGGCAAGCCTTTCTGCGATATACCGAATAGGACGACCATCATCTTGTAAACAGATAACAGATTGCGCTACTTGTTCCGGTGCCATTTTTGTTGAGTATTGCTTGACAAGAATCTTTTTGACATGTCATAAAAATGCTGACAGACAAGGCCTACTTGAAACAATTTCTTACGCGGCAAAGAATGCTTGTAACAATTTCTTGTTTATGGCTATGATTCGCATGATTTTCTGCAAAACAGCATATATTCTTCAATAATTGAGATATTGACATGAATAAAAAAAAGCACTGTTGAGAAATGTTGAGGCTTCAAATTCTCTTACGAAGACACATTATTCAGTAATCCAATGTTTCCACAGGGTCTTCAGAAATTTAGGGCAAAATGCACCTTTTAGTTACACTCTATATAAAATCAAACATTTTCAATTTTTTGCAAGATCAGCAGCCGATAATAATTACAATGAAATTACCTACAACTTGATGAAAAAATTTACGAAATTGATGCAAAGGGTAAAAAGTTATTTCAAATTTAATTTGAATAAAATTTTTTTCAGGTTAATTTTGCGTGGCAGGGTATCTCCTCATACGAATGATAATATTATATATGTATTTTTAATGCTCCACTTGTATAGGAAACAGCAGTTTTCAGGAGTTTCATATTGTTAATATAATTATGCTCTTGGTTAGTGCCCGCCATCCTTAGTGCCTGTGTGTGCGTTACCTCGATAACAATAGAAACACTTTGCGGTTACCAAAATTCAACAACTAAATGTGCAAATGTGGTTCCAGTAGGATGGGGCAATCAGACAGCAATGAATATTTTGTGAAGGTGTTCGAGATAATCAAATTTGACGGCCCCAGACGTCATTCTGTGGGGACGCGGAGCTCTTGGAAATGTTATATAAGTTGAAGTAACGGGAAACGTAACCCTGTACTTCGCGCTATTTAACATGCATGGTCTAAATTATTTAGATGAGAATCGGTGTGTCCAATCATTGACTTTCTGAAAAAATCTTTACCCAATACAGTCAAAACGGATGTAAGACTGGTATGTAGTTTCCTGAGTAACAATACAAAACTTGCACGAAGCAAATATTTCTAAGAATCTATCATGCCGATTCGTAAATTTCTATAGAAAAACAATAAATGAACCATTGTTCAATGGTACTGTTCCACAACTAGTGATTACCAAGATTATATACGTTGCTAGATCCTATTGTATTTGTTCATAGGAAACTAAAACAAAATTTATTTTTAGACAAACAACAGAGCATATTGTTCGCATAATCAATGTTTTTTATTTAAGTAATCATTACCAATCCAAATTTGATATTTGCGTTGACTTTTAACCTAATCTTGATGTAACAATTCATCAAATTGTCAGAACCGTTGCTAATTTTGGAATGCTAGCTCTTACGCATGCTAGGTGAGTTCTTACTGTAGGATCTATCGATAGATTCGCCAAAGGTGGTTGCAAAAATGAGAAAATATTTTTGCTCTCTACATGGTGATTCATAACTATGTAGTAACATAAACATATACAGGGTGGCCAATATACATGGTGTTCCTTAATGATATGCGAATATTTAAGGGTGTAAATCTACATGAAAAATTAATGTTGGTTTGGTTTATAAACTATGGTCCAGAACCTCGGGGCGTTGAAGTTTTAGGAAAAAAATGGAAATTAATTAATATTTTCAAAACTGCTTCAGGTATTCCAGTGATGTGAAAGTTAATAAAGTTGCATATTTTTCAATGCAAAAATAATTTTTAGCTTCATGGCGTGCATACGGGTATTGACTTCGATATTTTTTTAGAAAAAAAGTGGTACACCAATGGTTTTTTACCAAATAAAAATTATTTTTGAATTCCCCGTTCAATTTAAAACAAATGATCTCTCTTGAATTGTTTTCCTTCGATGCGCCATTTTTGAGTAAAAAAATAAAAACAGTTCTATTGTCGAGAAAATTAATGTAATAATCGAAGAATGCAATTCAGCAATAAATATCTGGTTGCTCTGGAATATGTCACTGACTTTTAATATCTGACCTTCACATCACTGGAATACCTGAAGCAGTTCTGAAAGTATTAATTAATTTCCATTTTTTTCCTAAAACTTCAACACCCCGAGTTTTTGTAGGGAAACATTTTTGGACGATAGTATTTCATTTCATTTCACAAATATTCAAGATACAAACCAGTCGGTTTTCATATCGGCCACCCTGTATTTTACAAATCAATTCAAGCATGAAGGTTTCAAGTAATTTTATTATCAGTCAAGTAGCGTCTAAAAATATCAAGGTACTTGACTTGATGTATCCCTACTTCCTACGCAACTGGCGAGGAAGTGGAAGTCAGCCACTCTTGCTAGCAAGCTTTCCCTCAAAATGAGCTCTATATGCCTTTGTTTCTCGCCATCTAAACGTTTGTTTTAATTATATGCATCATCTATAAATGTGTTTATAAGCACATAATGAACTTCTTTGAAACATGAGTCGGGCCAACAAGATATCTTCATATTTGTGTAAAAAACACTGTTGTTGCAAATACGCTGAGGGATCACCCTGTAGTGGCATTTCATCCATCTAACTTTGTATTCGATGCTTCGTCATTGGCTGTGAGAAAAATCCTGGTTCGTGTATTCATGTCCATTATGCTGAAGTTTATAATGCATATCCAATTTCTCGGAACAAGTGTGCGTCTAAGCTTTCAGCTTTTGCTGATGACAAAAGCACGATATACACAATACGATACGGCAACGGCGAGGTAAGGCGACGTCCTATAGGAAAAAAAAAACATCATAAAACGAAAAGAAGGAACGGTCGGATGAACGCCTTTCGGCCATCTTCAGCGTTTATAGCCTAGTAAAATTATGACAATGTGCTGCAATACGAATACGTTATCAAGTTAGTAACACCTGTACTAGAGATGGCCGATTTATTTATTATTCCAAACTTATGCAGACGATACACAGTTAACATTTAATTTTGACTCTATCAACTTCAATGAAATTTCTTATAAACTTAATGTCGACTTAGCTAATATTGATAATTTCTGCAAACGGCACTCACTGAAAATAAACCCTAGTAAATCGAATGCTATTGTCTTTAGTCCACATAATTTTCCAGTTAATGTTGTTGATCTAATCCAACTGTCTGTGAATCATACTGTCATACCCTTAGTTAACGAAGCAAAAAACCTGGGCGTTATTTTGGATAAAGACCTCCGTTTTAATCAGCACGTGAATGCCACCCTTAAATCCACATATATATCGTTGAAATTATTATATTCAAACCGGCACGTTCTTAATTTCAAAACGCGGAAAAAACTTGTTGAGAGTCTTGTTATGTCTAAAATATTTTATTCGCTGGTTCTTTATTATCCTTGTATTGATTATAACACTAAATATAGACTGCAGAAAATCCAAAACAGTTGTTGTCGGTTCGTATATGGCCTCAGAAGGTATGATCACGTATCGTCTAAGATAAAAGAGCTAAAATGGCTAAAACTTGATAAACACTATACTTTCTCTTTGGGTGTATTTGTCCATAAATTGATTTCCACAAGGTCACCCATTTATCTTATGGACAAACTTGTACCTCGTGGTCAAGTCATTTCTAGAGCCCTACGACATAACCATCTCTTCGGTATGCCATTCCACAGAACATGTATATTCCGAAGATGTTTTACGTACAATGCTATCAGGACTTACAACTCTGTCAACCAGGTACTCAAGTCCAAAAGCTTACCTGTTTTTAAAATTAAATACAAATCTGCTCTTTTGGAATTGCCTTTTTAAAAATCCCTGATGTTTAGCCGACAGATTTTGTAGCTTTTGTAAATTTTCCATGCTTTATACATTCTGTAATTGTTCATTGTTTTCTTTTTATTTTTCTGTACTGTACTATTGTCCTTATTATTATTATTTTTTCACTTCGTTTTTGAGGTTAAGTGGTAGAGTAGCCATGTGGCTAAACTTCGCCTCAATTCGAAGGTTTCAATAAAGACATTTATTATTATTATTATTATTATTTTATTTTTTTAATATAATACTTATAATATCATCTTTATTTACAATTATTACGATTCAATATGTCGAAGTTCAGCTAAAGCTATTCTTACACTCAACCATAAGAATACGAAGAAAAGATGGTACAAGAGATACAAATTGATAAAGATTTTCTAATGCAATTTCACAATAGTACTGAAACCAGTTGAATCAAACAACGAACTAATTTAAATGCCTACAAACATAGTGTGCCCATAAATTAACTTATACAGGGTGTCCGCAAAGTTGGGGTTTTCCTTTACACGACGTGTAGATCTTGAAAACATAAGCAATTTTTCTTAGTACCATATACACCAATGTCTTAAGGGAACCGAGATAAAGGGCTCTGCAACATCAAAAATATCTGAATACCGTCCCGTAGCCGCGACATCCCCCAGTGGTACTAGGACACTAGCTCAACCCGACGACAGAACTGGGTCGGGGTCAGTGTGTCAGGTCAGTATGCAACCTTCAACCGACGGTTGCGGTCACGTGTGTATAGGTAATTGCGTAGACGAGAATCCCTCAACAAGCACTAGAGACGTCGCTAGAGAAGTGCAAGTATCAAAAACTAAAGTGTGGCAAACGCTGCGTGAAGAGGGGTTGTATCCGTTTCACGTCCAACGGGTACAAGCCCTTCAACCTGACGATTTTCCAGCAAGAGTGCGGTTTTGTGAGTGGTTGTTGCGTCAACATGACAATAATCCGGACTTTTTGAAGTGTATATTGGTGACAGACGAATCTACGTTCACGCGTAATGGGGTGAATAACTTTCGCAACACTCATGTTTGGTCAGTAGAAAATCCGCACGCTGTCCGTCGGGCACATTTTCAACAAACATTTTCGGTGAATGTTTGGGCTGGCATGGTAAACGGTATGCTCATTGGACCATTTATTCTCCCAAATCGATTGGACGGGATGCAATACCAGACTTTTTACGCAATATTTTGCCTGCGTCTGCTCGGTAGCGCATCAGCTGATTTCATTTTCTGTTGGAG